GTGTGTGTGTGTGTGTGTGTTACCTTTACAATTGTAGGTGTATCTCTATAGATGTGCTTGTTCGGAAACTGATTGTTGTAACATGCCATGTATGGTGTGTGGTGTGCTAGGTTTTGCTTTATGTTCTATATATCTCCCTTTGTATAGATATCTAGTCTCGCTTCTGCTATAGATCAGCACAAACCGCTTATCTCTTTACTTCATGCACAGTGTTTAATCTCCCACCACCTACACACTTTTATTTGCGGACAAAACATAACAGGGGAGAGGGCAACTCAGAGCCTCCAATGGTTCTGTCGTAGACTACTGCGGTATGCCCACGCCTTATTCCGTGGCCCAGATCTCGAGGCTGTCGTTATACGCTTGTGTGCGTTTCTCCAAGAAGTTCTCGGACCACCTACTGCGTGAGCAACAGGAGGCCGTCCTCTCACCCGGTGCCATCGCAACGTACATTAACCTGCACTACGTTATTGGCGCGGCCTGTATGCCTTTAGCACAGGTATGACCTGCAGATGTCTATATATGTATTGCGATATATGACCGCAAGATTTGTATGTATGTAATGAGATATATTTTTTGTATATATTGAGTTCGATATGAAACATTTTGTGTATACTTCGTGAACAATAGAAGGCCGTCCTTCCGTCCTGTGCAACCGTGACATACATAAATTTCCACTGATTCGGCTCATATACCGGTAGCGGAGCTGCGCCTTGCAGACGTATTGGGATGTGTGTGTGTGTATGTTTAATATTTAATGAGTTCAATAATTCTAACGGTCACTGTACATATATATAAATATGGTATATGGATATATAAAAAGATTTTATATTAGAATATTCATATTCGTGGTATTATCTTTAATATTGTCATTTTGATTATAATCAATGCTGTTATAATTAATATTATTACTGTTATCACTATTACTTTTGGTATTTTTTTAGTGATAATCATTTACATACAGACTAGTAAATATCTAAACACGCACACATGTACATATATATGTCACAGGCACAGAGTGAGACAGGAATTGTCATTAATCTGCTGATCAATCTCCTACCGCGTGCACTTGGTGGTGGTGGGGGTGTAGCGGGAAAAGGTCAGCAAATCGACAAATGGGCTGTCATAGGCGTGTGTATAGTTCTGGAAACTATCACATACCGATTACTGAAGTTCTTTTTGCCTGATCCGGGCATGGTGCACCGGCTGTTCTCTATGCTGACCAAGATTTTGGGCCAGACGTCGAGCTACAAGATGTATCAGCTGGCGGAAACATGCCTGCTGAAGCTCAGTCTGAGTTGTAAAAGACACCATCTTCTGCACTTTCTGAGTCATCTGGACACCTCCTCCAAGGTATGGCTACAGCTATTATGGTGTTTGGACGTGACTTGGGGATTGGTATTTACAATTTGATTCCTTAATTGCTGGGATTGTTGGCGAGCTTGTTCAGCGTGATTGTGTTGTTATTAGATTGCGTGCGTAACTTGCAGCAAGTAAAGTGTATGGCCAGATTTAAGTATCAACGGCGACGTTTTGATCTCGAAAAAAATGTGAAGCACTCATTGTAGCTCGCCTTCGATGATTGCTACAATTCAGCTCGACAGCGCACTCGTGGTTTTGATTAAGCTTTGCTGCTAACATTCAAACGTAGAGTACGTCCATGTGTATAAATAATTATGAGTATATATATATATATTGTAAGTCCCTAAAAACTACTCATATAAAGTCTTTGTAGTGACGAGTGAATACGACACCCCACACGTGTGATTCACATCTATCTGCTGGTCTGATCATACACACTTATTCAAGCAATCTAAATGTTCACGATGGCTTTATTGCGCATCTAAAATCTTGTATGACCTTCATTGCGATTCCCATGCAGGCAAATGAGAGTATGATGCAATTACCAGTCTGCGTGCGGCGTTCAGTGGTGCTAATGTATTCTCGAATGCTCAGCTTCCCTTCAACTATGCTGTGTGAACAAGGGCCGCTCAATGCCACGGGTATGATCATAATATAAAAAATATACATACATACATATATATTTATATATATATATATATATACATATATATATTATATATATATATACATATATACAT